CATAATTGTGCTTGGTTCTCCGGTTGTATCTATAATTGGCAAAAATCAGATACTTGCATTGGATCAGCATACTAGCGTTTAGATATGAGTTTAATATCGAACTTAGTATTATGTAACATTTTAAAAACACTAAAGAAGTGTCTATAATAAAACCCATTTGAAATTATACAAAGACATGTGCAAAGATGTGTGTTATCACTTAAGAGAATAATATAGTGAGGATAGCTATGAACGTATAGATCAAACAAGAAAACCTACCAAATTTCAAGAATGTTTTCATGATTCACCATATTTACAATAGTTTCGAGTGAAGCTTGTAATGTATCATATTCGTCTTCAAGATACTCTTCTAAATATTCATGAGCTTTAGATAGCTAAGATAAATATCAGTATTAAAAAAAAAATTCTAAATAACTATATATATTCAATCAACATGGTTTGTATCATTTCACTGACAATCACTTCACAAGCACCTATCATATGAAGTGACGATTAATGTTTAATGATCTAATGATCAGTAATTATTATTAAATATTAATTGTCACTCTGGGTGATGGTGTACTTAGTAAAGCGAAATGATATAAACCCAATATGATAATAGTACTTAATATAAATTATACTATTAAATTATTTGGAATTTTTACTGAATATGCCCGATACAAAATACTCTGAGATACTTGAATATTTTGAACTGAAGCTGATTCTAATATTAAGAATTTTTTGATATCATCCTGAATAGTTTTAAAAAAATACTTGAAATGGTCAGAAGTTCTCGAGTAGGTAGTACATTTTTATATTCTGATAACCATTGATGTTGTACTTCACATTCAAGTTTAGTTTGAATAGATTTGCCTAAATTAAAGAGTATCATTTTTGCACTAACTTTATCTTTGATAATTCTGTTAAGGCTTTCTACCTGTTGGGTGCTTTGCATTTTAGTACAAAATATAGTAAATATGTAAATCTTGACCTATGATTTTCATGATTTCTAAAGTTGTTGCAAATAACTTTGACCTTTTGAATACTTAGATAATAATTCTGCCCAATTGTACTCTAATTTCACCTCACTACAGCTATTACAATATCAAAACCAGCTTTTCAAAAAATTACCATAAGAATTGCCAGCTTTTGTGATAATTTCTTTGCAAGATTAGTTTGTATATGAAATATACAATAATTGTGTTTTGAGTTAGAAAATACTTGACTAATGGCAGAAATCATAGCAATATTAGCATTAGTAAAAATTGCTTTGGGAGCTAAATTATTGGTTGTTTTTAGTATACAATTTAATATCTATACATAAGAACCAACAGTTTCATCCTGAACAAGTGACTGTACCACAAGCCTTGTTTTATGATAATTATTAACAATTACAAAAAAATTTAGAAGCATATTATATGCATTCATTTTGGCTGTATTATCGTTTACTACTACATCATGATAATATTTCTATAATTCTATTTGTGTAGGCGTTATCCAAAAAAGCTGTGAAAGATTATTATCTATATCCTCAAACTCTATATAAATTGCCCACTCGGGTTCTCACTCATGCTGTTCTATAAACCATTTTACCATATTGGCTGCATTATTTTCTCGCTAATTTTCCATTTGTTTTGTATATCGCTATATAGCATTGTACAAGTCACGGTCATATAATGGTTGATCAGAAAATTTTTTTGAAATATACCAGCACTAGGCCTTGGCTTCAAGATTACACTCCTGTGTCAAAAACTTTATTGTATCAAGGACTTCTTGTGAAAGAGAATATAGGCTTGGGACAAATTCCTTTCGATGTAGCGCAAGTGGATAATTATGTTCTTCAACAAACTTGTTAATAACTATGGCACCAAAATTTTTTTGATATTCTGCATTAAGCTGCCATGCACACCCAACTTTTTTGGACTCCTTTTCTCTCTGGCAAGTGGTGTTGGCCTTTTTTTTGGGTTGATAATCTCTAAAATTTTCACAAAGAAAATATCAGCGAATTATCTCACCACTATTATCACGTTCTACACGATACTTTATTGACTTGAATCCAATATTTAATTCATATTCTTTTAATGCGTCCTCCAAAGACTTCCAATTACAAAAAGTAGCACTATTATAGATTGTAAGTTTAATGTTTTCATCAATATCATGTTCAGACTCATAATCACTTTGCTGCGTTTTATTTAAATCCATAAACTCTTCAGATAGAATACTAGAATTTAAGAAGCAGTCTGTAGAAATAGTTGATATATTATGAGTCATGAACTCTATAAATAAAAAATATTCAAAAATATATATTATTAAGCCATTATATAACATACTAAAAGTAGTAGCTAAAATGGCTAAAGTATCAGAACAAATTTTATAAACATAATCCAAAAATATTTTACCACTTTGTTCTTCATTAAAGGTATCAAATATATTAACATTCAAATCAGTATATGAAAAATCTATGCTAATATTATTTGCCATAACGAATAAATCTTTAAAATTAAAAAAAAGATTGGTTATATTATCGAATTTAGTTTCAAACTGCCTATAAATACACATCTGCTTAACACTTACTGTATTATATTTAACACATTGTATAGTCTTATCACATGTGGCCAAGAAACTTTAGAGATTGATTGACTTTTTTTTTCAGATTGTACTTTATATATTAAACTAACCAAATTCATAATTTACTAAAGCATATATTGGTCCAAAATTAAACTATTCGCGCTTTAAAAATATCTTCATACCAAAAAAAAATTCAGTAGGTATTATAAGTTATTACTCTAGATATCAATTAAGCCGATCTTGTAGTTATTTGCTAAAATATAAAAAGTTGAATTATCCACGCTTCGAAAATATCTTTATGCAAAAAAAAAAAATTTAATAGGCGTTAAAAGTTGTTATTCTATATATAAACCAAACCAATCCTGTAGTTGTTCACTAAAATATAAAAGAAAATATCTCTACCCTTCATGCCAAAAAAAAAAGGCGTAAATAGAGAAAACTTGAGATCATAAGATGGTAGATTTCAATAATAATTGTACTATGAAAGATAAAGTGTCAAAGGTTATAATAAGAAAGGCATTAAAGATTGTTATCTAATATATTCACCAAATTGTAGATTTTATGAAATATCAATAGTTGAACTACTATGTCTTTTATGAAAAAAAAATTTTCAGTAAATATCGAGGTTTAAGAGCCTAAGAATAAGTTTGTATCAAGTTTAAAAGCACAAACAGGAAAACTTGTGATCTTGAATCTTGAGAGCGTTAGGCTTTTAATAATGCTTGTATAATCTTGAAACTGTAAGAGGTTAGGTATTAATAACGATCTGTGCAAATAATTCATATAGTTATCTAGTATCTTTCCGCATATTCACTTTGTGGTCACTTAAACAGTTTTTTTTTTATTGAGTTTTCTTTAAAAAAAATACTATGCACTCTGATTATAAGCGACTTGCTATTTTTACTACACCAAGAGAAAAAATTCAATCGATTGCTTGATCAGGATTTTAGTACATATGTACGTACGATCATTGTTTTGTACCACAAATCGGGTGAACAATGTACTTGTGTATATACATAGTTCTTAGGTTGTATATATATATGCACATCATTGAATTTGAAATACTGATATCAAATCTGGTTATTTAATTTCATGTGATCACTGCTGATTAGATACAATATTGTAACCGTGATGTCACAACCCACTATAAGTATAAATTTTCTTTTAAAAAGTTTCTTAAAATTTTATATGTTTTCGAAGAGAAATTTTTTAGTTACTACTAAGTAAAGTTTAAATTTTGCTTAATAAGTTATAAAAGTTTTAATAATAAAAGTAGTGTAATTTTAAATTGTCTACAACTTTGGATTAAGGTAATAGGGGTCAAAGCTTATAATTTTATTAAGTAAAACTAAAAAACAGAAAAAATTTTTAAAATTAAAATTTTTTTAAAAAATTATAAATTTTTCTTTTATAAGCAACTTCAAATTTTTTATAAATAAAAAGAAGTTTTAAATAGTATATAATCATAGTTTTTATTTAAAAAAAAAATTATAAAATATTTTTATTTTTAAAAAAAATAGATCAAATATGAATTTATAAAATTTAAGTAGACAAATTTGCCTGCTTAACTGGACAGTTTAAGGGATAATAGACAAAATAATTATAATTAATCATATATGCTAAAAAAAATATCTTAAATTTTTTAAATTTATTAATATAGAATTAAAAAATATTTTAATATTATTTTAAAACTATATATCATATAAGCACATTTACAGAATTAGAGTTTTTTTAGAGTTTGCTTTTTTTTTAAATTTTAAAAGCAAATAACTTTTAATTTATAAGTTTTTAAAAAATAATTTTATTATCATCATATTTACCTCTTTAATATGATTCTAACAAGTTCAAAATCATCTAAATCTAATCACAGAATCAAGAAATAAAGCTTGGTTAAATAAGTATACACCTTATATGTTGGATAATTGATTAGACCTATATTTAACCAATTGTCTAACATATGAGGTGTGTACTTATTTGACCAAGCTTTTTTTTTTTTTTTGGTTTTAAGGTGACCTCTTGGTCACGCTGTGCTTTTATTATTTTCAGATGTTATTATACATATTTGAAGAGTATATTTAGTCATATCTGCGCCTTTTGAGCATCTATTTAAGTAGTTTGTCTATTACTAGATTCTATACTATTTGTCATATCTGCAACCCAGCTAGAGAGTTACCTATTTAAACTCTCTGCGTCTATATACTCTGAGGCCTACTACAACCGATATCCTTTCCTCTAGTTCTAAGAACTAGTCTCCCAGATATATCATTTCACATGCTGACTTAGAACTACTTTATTCTTAAGGTAAATCTAGCAGAGCCTGCAATATTCCCACTCATATCACACCTAGCCTGCACTTCAGTTTGGTATGCACGGACCATAGCCCACCACTTGCAGCTCAGTTTTTCTCTATTCTGGAAGTGTATAGTGCCAGATCAAGGTAATAGCCTATAGTTGATTCCCTAGCTTAAACTTTCTCCTGCTTCTTTTCAATGATTTAACTCTAGTTTTCGGCTGAACTTCACTACCCAAATCTATTTCTGCTCTTGTAGAGTTTACTCAAACCCCAGAACTTACTTCACGGTATATCTCCAGTAATCCAGTTCTTTTTACCCAGACTTCCAATTCAGGTAGCTTGGTATGTATCACTTATTTTCCTCTGAGTTTGATGGTGGCCTAGTTGGTGTAGGTATTTCCTTTTTCGTCTAATAGCAGAGGCCCCAACCCTGGTTCTCAGACTTCCAATCTAGATAGCCTGGTAACTATGCATTTTTCTTTGCTTTAGGCAGGTACTCTGAACCTTGGTGAACCTTTTATCTTGCCGCTAAGCCACATGTGTCACAGCTCCTTCACTTCAGTTCCTAGGTCCTCTTTCCTATTGCAGCAGCCTGGTTGGTGTAGATGCATCTCTAACACCCCATATTCTGTCTAGTTCAGTTCTTCAGATTTGGTTTCCTGGGTCTAATCTTTACAGTAGCTTCGTTAAAGATCTGTACTAGCTTTCTACTTGGAACTTGCCAAGCAGACTTTCGTATTCACAGTTCTCTAGATTTACATGGCTTGGGGCTTATTTTGTGTTTGTACTACCCTAATATCAGTTTGCATCTCTTTGTGTAATGTTATATCACACGAATATCCCAGACCTCCCAGTCTTGCTAGTACGATCATAGTTACAGGTATCCTATCCTAACTGATCGAACAAATACAGTTAGTCGTAATACAAGCAGAATTTTTGAATTTTCATCACCGGTGGGATTCGAACTATTGACCTGCCACTTGGCAGGATAACAACTTGACCACTTTGTTATGTCACTACACCCTATTTGACCAAGCTTTATCTCTTGATTCTGTAATTAGATTTAGATGATTTTGGACTTGTTAGAATTATATTAAAGAGGTGAATATGATGATAATAAATTATTTTTTAAAAACTTATAAATTAAAAGTTATTTGCTTTTAAAATTTAAAAAAAAGCAAACCCTAAAAAAACTCTAATTTAATTCTGTAAATATGTTTATATGTTTATTTATAATTTACAAGTTATATATTGAATTTATTTTACTAAAATAAAGTTATCCTTTAAACTATAAGCTTTTCTAGACAAATTTGCCTGGAAAATTATTATAAATATACTTATGATTTATATTTTTTAATTTTTAAAATATTTAAATAAATTTTTTTTAATAATATTTGAAAATAATGATTATATTATAACAATATTTAATTTAATTTTATAAGAAAAAAAATTTAAATTGTTTATAAGATAAAAGTATACCAATTTAAAAAAAAATTTTTAACCAAAAAAATTATTTACTTATTTTTGATAAACTCTTTAAATATTAATTTTAAAACTATAGTTTTTAATACAATATTTTAGTTTATATAAAGAATAATATTTTTTATTTTTATAAGTTTTGCAACTTATAAAAATTTGGACTTGTATTAAGAGCAAAAATTTTTTTTTAGCTTCAAAAATATATAAAATCTT